CATGAATAAAACAAAAGTGCCAAACATAATTATACTTAGATACTCTACTTTCCCAGCAAGAAGTCCAATTCAAAAGTTAACATTAAATGAGTAGCTTTATGTAATGAACGTGGATGGAGACAAAGTCAATCCTATTACATAAGGGAGAGTCCGGTAATTTGGACCAGTTTTTTTCAATCCCATTTTACGCATAGTTTTCTTTTATTTTTGCTAATGTCCATGGTATATACTAAAAGATAAATTATTCAACTTACTATTTCATAGGTATTAATTAACATGATTGTTGTATATTTAGCACAAATCAACAAAATGCGAGTTCAGAGCATCGGTCCAATTTAGCCAACCGGTTCGATAATTTGTACCACAGGGTTGCTAAATTGGATTTCAATAAATTTCAAGCCTATAAAAAAACTATGGCAAAATATTATACGGTACATTCTTAACAAATTAGGTAACGAAAAGGAACAGTAGTTAATAACATAGACAATCGATATTGTTTAACACGTTATCACAATTTTGAGTACAAGTTTTGTAATTCCAATTATCGTAACGCACACTTGTACCTAATCTACTTTGCCAGTCTTATGCTTTAATTTATTGTTAGTCAAACATTACTATGATATTACTTATTATTAACTTCAAAATATGATTCACTAAAAAATTTTCAAAATCCTTTGGTAAAATTTTCATACAACTTGATGTGGTACAATTTAACCGACTAGGTGATAGTGCATTTAAAAAATCGGTAAAAAATATAACTTATAATTACCGAAAAAATTTTCAAATAATTGTAATCCACACTAATTTACGCTTCTAATTAATAAATTAGAAACACTGTGTGATTAAATTTAACAAAATTACAAACTAAACATGCATTCTCAAAAGTTACTTGAAAGCAATAAAAAAATACTTTTCAAAATAAAACACACGTGTTTGTTGTCACGGCAAAAACCACATGGCCGATATTAATTGATTTTAGTTGTGTATCGCTGAGTGTTGCAATTACAGACATTCAATAAATACTTTACGAAATATGAGGGTGGTAGGTACAATTTACCCGGCGGTACAATATACCGAACTCTCCCCTATAAAGCTATTTTACCGTTCGATTGATTTAACCCCAAATCCAGCTGTTTCTCGTTTGCTAAAATCCGCTGTGTTTTAATCCTCATACATTTCCCAGAATCGAGCGTCAACTAATTGCACCAACCAGTGACACAGATTAGAATGTCCTGTGAATATCTACAGTTTGGACAAACATATTTCCAATAAAACCAATGTGCACAGTTCATGTTTTGAATTGTAATGTTTTTAATAATTGGACATTACTTAATCAATTTTGTATGTAATAAATTTTTGTATGGCAAAAAAAAATTGTATTTTAGGCAATTACGATTTAAATAACACTCAACTTGATCAACCAGTTGGACAAAGAAACGACCATTGTCTAATGTCCCATTTACAGTTAAGGAGAAAGTAGGTACTTAACTGTAATCCCTACTTTCGGAATATACAGATTGACTTATCAAAATGCAAAGGAAATCATATGAAAATTCCAATAAAAAAATCTTATTCCGCAACATTTTCTGCTGCCAACAAAGCATGACGCAAAATGTCCGGTTCATTTGCTAATCATATTTGTTTCAATAAATAAATAAATTGCCCGGAATCAGAGCGAGACCATCCCGTGGGAGTTCGGGTCACCCTTTATGGTATTGGTTCCCAAACTTATTTGAGACGCGCCCCCTTTCGACCATACAAAAAATTTCGCACCCCCCTCCTCCAGTCAAGCTTATGTATTGGTCGTATCGAGCCGTCTGGAATGCATTCTCTCAGCGGTTGCAGGTTTTTTAAACTTAAGGCGATTAGAGTCCTCAATGACCTTGGGCGTTTGACCTTCACGCCGCGAGCAACACCCGCGCACCCCGCACCAAAAACTCCGATTTGACACCGATCAAAAATACACGGGCATAGGTAGATACAGAATAGAAGCTCTTTCTTCATACATTACTGCCTATTATTTTAAACTTAAATTGATGAACCTTGATGTCGGTGTCATTTAACTCAGGCGTAAAGGTATTTAATAAAAATAACAAAATCCATGAACATTTTGTGCGGGATAAAATTTTATTTTATTTTTTGTAAATTTTCTAATGCTTTTGTCGGTTCAGTCGTTCTCGAAATTTGAACAAACCCGACTTTATTACAAGCTTTTATTTAGCTTGCAATTTATGATGTACCTATGTAGGTAATTACATAAATGTTTGTTCGGGTGGAATCTTGCAAGCTGAATTAGTTAGACCAACTTCCTGACGACAACTAGGCTAGATGACAAAATTTCAATTATTTGTCCGTCAGACAGATAATTAGAAAATACAAAAAACACCGGTTATCGCCAAAGCTACGGTCAAAGTTAGGTCACGTCAGGTAGTGCAACTTAGCCAAAGAAAAAATTCATTTTGATCGCTAATGTCAGTTTGTAGCGAGTGACACAACCTCCCCGTCTGAAGGCCAGCGGCCGACTGCCGCCCGCACCCCGCGAAGGCCCCCTCAACAGCAAAACGTTCGGAATTTATCAAAAGTAAAATTTATGAATGAAAGTAATGTTCGATTGAAAAACGCAACGTGTCATTTAAAGATTAAAGAATTCCCAATCTATTCGTGCAAAAATCTTTTAAATTAACATAGCCGTTTTGGAGGAGTAGGGAATTTAAGTAAAAAATCGATGTCCCGTATTTATTTTTTTAATCCAAAACAAAGACACGTAGCGAAAATTCAAACGTCACAAATGTAGTCCTTGAACTGTTGTATAACATACATTTTTTTCAACTATTTCTGTCCAGCAGTAAAAGAGGAGTAGGCTTTACAAAATGCCCATTTAGCGCGGATTGAGGACACTAATCGCCTTAAGTATACAGATGGCCCCCTTTTAAAGGTTTTGCCCCTCCCCTGGGGGGCGCAAAACCCCCCACTTTGGGAACCAATGCTTTACGGCAATATGGCTGAATACACAGCAACTTCTGTTCATTTATATCCGAGGAAATATTTAGACAAAACAATTGGGGACAAAGGAAAGCAACGGCGCGTTGACTCAACCTTTTTGGCATTTAGAGCTTAGTTGTTTATGATTCTAAAAGCAAATTGTTTTTCATGTCCTTCTTAAGGGATGAGGTTAATTATTCCTTTCATCCCCTCTTTAATTAGATCCAAATGTTCAAAACACGATGGCAAGTTAATCGTCACAATCTTCTGTTTCTATCGACTGTACAATTTTTTATCCTCTTAATTATATTATCATCCTCTCAGATGAGATTCTTGTATTCTTGTTCCATCTCAATTAAGAATTTGCTGTCGATTTCATCATGAAAGAATTCCTGTCAATAGTTGGTAAATTAAATATTAATATTATGTACTTAATTTCCATTCTTCAGACTATGTATCTGCATCTCTCTATTTGGCAACAGCATAACTTCCATCTGTGATAGACTTATCAAAATCACCACAATACCGATCGATTAATTGGACTTATCCCTTAGTAACCAAAATATAACATTTTCACCGCTTCACTTAACGACTGGCACATCACGTTTATCACCTTTATCGGGACACAAAAAACCCTTTGTGGCATGCTCATTAACGATGGCAAATTTCAGATTCATCTTAACAATGTTGACCTTATTCCGGCAGTGTTAACACGTACCTACATTTGCATGATAATGGTGTTTGTAGCAGTTTAGCATACCGGAGGCTTTGTCTCGCCACCGCAGAATGCTCGGAAGCGACTAAAGCTTTTTGGGGAACATGTGGTAGTGCAGATGCAGTGAGATTTTTCTCCTATTCATCGATGCCAAAACAGTGTAGTCTTTACATTTACTCCTTATTAAACTTTACATTATATTTATATTATATTAATTAACACTTCTTCTTCATTTCTTCAAGAATCTTACCGAGCTTTCGACATCAGAAACATTTGCTTTACAAAGGTATTAACTATCCAAGTGGTAAATTATTTTAATGATTACCTAATTTATTTATGAATTTACTGACTAATCTATCGAGAAATTAAGGCGGGTAAAATGAAGTCACATATTTACTTAACTGAAACTTTTATTTGTGAGGTAAAAGAAAAGGTCGTCAAAAAAGTGACTTAATTTAAATTAACACGAACATGAATATATCATCAACGTACAAGAGTTCAAGAGTACAAACTAATTATTGCTGACGGATCCATCATAACAACGTTGACCTAATTGCAAGCAAAGTGTCAACACGCATTTGCATGGTAATTATGTTTATGCCACGGAGTTTAGCATAGCGGGGCTAGGGTTCCCGGCTTTAGCCGGACATGTTAGGCTTTTTAAGGACTTGTCCGGCCAAATATTCGCTTGTCCGGCCTTTCCGGCTTTTGTTAGGCTTTTTAAGGTGGCTGCCGCGCCAGTTGAAAGTCGAGACACGTAATAATATCGAGCACACCTGCCCGTATCAGGATGTTAGGCTAAGGCTTTTAGGGTAAAATGTCCGGCCAAATTAAACACCGAGTCCGGCTTTTGTGTTTTTGGACCTGGCAACCCTAAACGGGGCATAGCATTCCGTGGCACAACGTCGGATATCGACTTATGGAAGGGAAAGTCCACATACCATATTAGATAGAACTTGTGTAACATAATGAATTCCATCGCTTCACAAACATCTTTGAGAGGGTTTCCTTGCAGGATAACCTTAATAAACATATTTAAACAATGTGCATTCTTGCATATACCGCAGTTTCTGGTTTTAATCCTGGTATCCAAGTTGCATCATCTTAACTTTAACAGTAACTGGTGCTTTTGTATGGAGTTTGACAAACTTGACGTTAGTTGTAGGTAAGGGTTATAGTTGCGGCCTCTCACAACCTTAATCAGGTCAACGGTCCAACGGGTGGAAGATCTACCCACGCTGATAAAAAAGTTCTGATTTTGATTAGAAAGATTCTATTTTATACTAATGATACTTTTTTTCAGGGCGAGATCTCGTTCCCGCTCGCGGTCGGTGACCCCGAGCGCGTCGCCCCCCCTCCCGGCGCTCCCCCCGCCGCCCCCGCCGCCCCACACCCTTCACCCGGACAATGCCTTAGGTAACGCATCCTGTCTGACGCATGCATATTATAGTAGAGTGACAGATATACGCATGTCTACTATTGTCAGAGATGTAGAGGGAAACGATACATGGAAGTTGAACTTGGTACGCTCGAAATAAATTGTTGAACGAAAGTGATTTCATTTTTAGAAGGATATTTAGACGATACAGTTTGAGAATTCATTGGCAGGCATCTAAAGACATTAATGCCCGTTTTCACCATCAATCCCTTATTTTTAAGTGACCCCTATGACAACAAAATTCTTGTTATTTGTTACCATAAGAATCACTTAAAAATTAGGGATTGATGGTGAAAATGGGCATAAGCTTCTTAAGTAATCGAGCTGCACCTAAATTTTAAAAAAAAAATCGAGGTGCTGGGCAGGCTATTTATTTATTTATTTATTTATTTATTTGGGATGTGTTTTAACTGCCCCAAAAAAAAAGGTCTAAATACTAATATTAACTTTTTAACAGGACGCGGTGCACTAAGCGCAGCTGGCCGTCAGCTAAGCGACCACAGCAACAACCGAGAATCCTCACTGGATGACTCCGGCGTTGTGGATGATCACGACGACGGCGAGCACACGTCGGATGACCAAGCCCCGCACCCACATCCTCGCAGGGTGCATCTACTGCCGGTGCCAACGGCACCGCCGTTGGAGCACCCGCCTACACCCATGCCCATGCCCATGCCTATGCCCATGCCTATGCCCATGCCGCAAATACAGCAGGTGAGCTTACACTAACAGCTATAGACACACGTCTGATGACTCTAGTCTGATGTGACGTAAGCGAGCACACGTCGGATGACTAGCCCCCGCACCTCGCAGGCCATCTATTGCTGATGCCGACGGCGCCGCCGAAAATCACCCATACTTATATGCCTGTGCCGCAGATTCAGCAGGTGAGCTACGAATAGCCTAGGCTACACATAAACGGCTAGTAGACTAGAGCAGTGCTTTTCAACCTGTGGGTCGCGATCCACCAGGGGGTCGCGAAGCCTCTATAAGGGAGGTCGCGAGAGATCGTAAAAATCACCTCAGTAAAAAACATTACCTGACGACAACCTGATAAAGGTAGCAGGAAGGCGCTACATGCAGGCCGCTACCAACCGTGCGATGTGGAAGTCATTTGGGGAGGCCTATGTTCAGCAGTGGACGTCCTGTGGCTGAAATGATGATGATGATGATGAAAAAAACATTAGTTATAAAGACAGATTTATCCGAAATCTAACTATGAAAATGCATTAAAATGTTGTATGGATTGAAGTATTCGGACCCTACAAACATCTTTGTAACATTATAAAATGCATGAAAAAAAGCGAACGGTCGGGTGGTCGCCAAGTCGTGTCATGAAAAAGGTTGAAAAACACTGGACTAGAGTCAATAGTCATAGTCATAAATGTTTATTGCATCATGTTGGTACATTTGGATCTTAAATAATAATACAGAGTCAATGAACAGGCTGCGAAGAGCACACGTTATCAGATATGGGTACGAACAGACTCTAATACAAATTGGGTGGAGGACTCGCCCATGCTCATGCCACAGATACAGCAGAATATCCTAGGGTACAGACACATAGTTGATAGGCTGATCAGCGACTAACGGTGAACACACGTCCAATGACCAGGGTCCAATCCTTTCCCAGGAGGATACAAATTTCCATAAATTCAGTAAACCATAACATTCATAAGTGACAAGAAAAAAACATGTTTACAGGAAAGACCAAAGCTCGAGCCAAAACAAAAACACCCGAAAAAAGTGGAAAAGCAGCTGGACAAATCGAAGAAATCAGAAAAAGGCAGCATCCAGGAGAAGTATCCACTGAATCCAGACTACCTCAACCAGATCGTAGTGCTAGGTAAAATTAAACTTGATTCAAATCTGCACCGCTTCAGAACCCCGAATTCGTTTAATACCACCAACAAACAACAACAAGGGACGAAATAAATATTAATTTCAATAAATTTGCTCTACAATTGGTGGTATTATTCTAAATTATTCCTTTGATTGGCACGGCTTCAACACTAAAAAGCACGAAACAACGAACACTGGTTAAACGATGCTACCACTATCAAAGAATGACTGCTTTTGCCGACACAAGAGCCTGTCGTTAGGTATCTACGATCAAATACATCATCAAGGCATTGGGCAAAAAACACTCAAAATCTTCAGTTTTCAAATATCGTAGATTAGCATTTAAATTATCGACATTGGCTATTGTTATTGCATGTTAACCTTCTATTTCTTAAAATTTACCGACAATCTAAATCAACTTTTAGGATTCTATTCTATTGTCAGATTTCCGAGCTTGCACTCTTTGCAATTTTTCTACCTTTCTAAATTTAGATACCGTGTATTATACATCTTTCGGAATACATTTCTAAATTACGATGTAGTTCCTTTTTCTTCTAAAATTCTAACTTATTCACTCTGTTTCAATTCGCATTTGCAAACAGATGATTTACTTTGGATTTCTGAAGCATTATGTAAGGGTTCTTCAAAATTCTTACCTAATTCTGAAATAGCTGTGTTTCTTTTAAGTTTTTCTGTTTTACATAACAGCAAAACTTAACGGCATCACAATTAATATCTTTGGTAGCTTAATGAATTTTCTCTAAAAACTTTTCAACAATGTTCAAGAAGCTACCAAGATTGTAGATACTGCAATTACATTTTGCAAAAAAAAAAAAACAAATTGTTCTGCTCTTGTCATTGAATTTACCAATACTTTGTTTTGAATTTTTAAAGTTACATTTTTTTAAGTTCTATCGGGTTTTTAAAGAGTAATGGTAGATTCAACTGGCCGGTAACATTCACTAGTAGCTTCACTTCTCAGTGAGGTGACACCTCATTGGGCATTTGAAACAACACTGTTGCAATCTCGCTTCTACCCTCATTAATATCGTCAGGGGCGGACTGGCCATACAAGCGCGCGCCCGACCTCCCGCAAGCGGAGACGACGAAAATTAATGAGCTCAGTTTATTGGCAGCCACGCACAAATCTCATATGGGCAATTACGAGCAAAATTGCACTTACTTCACAGGTTAGTAAACACTGACGCCAACGCTTCTACCCCCCAGTCCACCCCTGTTCCCCACAGGAAGACTGCAGGGTGACATTGCGATTGGTTCTTGCTGTCGTCTCGTCGCATTTCAAGGAATCGCATTCAAGTCTATTAGATTAGCAACAAACACACAATTGTATCCTCACTTAATACACTAATTAAACTTCTATGCGATTCAGTCAATGGGAACACTAAATTGATACAATTCGGAATACTACCTGCAAAATGCACCTCACATAAGCGTTTCAAAATTTTATCATTGGCATTTCAAAATTATTTAAAACCGTGCATTTTCCTGCGTACTTTCTAGCCTCCTGTTTTCCGCTTTTGACTGCATGAATAAGTAATGTTTAGTAATTTAACTTTAACAATTACAGTTACATACAATTGTTTGTTACGATATTGCAAACATGGGCTTTGCATTCGAAGAATTTGAATACGCTTCACTATGCTTTTGCTCTTTTGGAACTGATCTTTCTTTGGTACTTTCTTTCTTCTGTTATCGATGTGATGTTTCTGTTATATTTACTTATAGTTCTGCCTTAGTTCATAACTTGTTTAATTTGACCGCAGATGAGCTTGTGGATCGAAACTGTGAATGCTGCGTAACATGCTGCATAGACTATGAAGGCTGGCTCCAATTCCAGAACTGTTTGTATGGGATTGTGAAGGATCCACTCTTCGAGTTGTTCATAACAACCTGTATAGTCCTCAATACACTTTTCCTTGCCTTAGAGCATCATGGGATGAGTGAGAATGTTAGACAAGCATTAGATATAGGAAATAAGGTAGGCTTGCAACCGATTACAACTATATTGAATGCAATTCTGTATCAGGAATTAACTGTTTCATTCTTTCAGGTGTTCACATCTATATTTACATTAGAATGTATAATGAAAGTGATGGCGATGAGCAAAGACTTTTTTGCTTGCGGGTGGAATATATTCGATTTGATAATAGTATCAGCCAGCCTTTTAGATCTCATATTTGAGCTCGTGGATGGCCTATCTGTGTTACGGGGCCTTCGTTTGGTGAGTATTGACGACCTTTATCACTACAATAATGAGCTGGTGGATGGTCTGTCGGTGTTACGAGGCCTTCGCTTGGTGAGTACACTTGACGACACAAGAGCGGCCATACACGGGCAGCTCACAAAGTTTATCATTAAACGCCATAGATGGATGGACACTTAATTTTCCTGACCTGTCACGTATCTAAAATACTTGATCTGATTGCACTACGCACGTATTATTACAGCATGAACTGATACCTCGTCATGGCTAGTATTCCAAGACAAATTACTTAACCCAAGTTCTTAACATGAGCCTTGTTTGGAAGGTAATTTGCATGTGTGTGTAGTTAGTTATTTTTACCTCAAAAAGTAGAATATATCCTGTACGAGAACTCACAGGTTTAAAAATTTGTTTATCTGGAATACTAGGCGTGACCGACTCCATACTTTGGGTGGTTGATGACTGCAAGCTGCCTGTGTATCGTCGTTATTATATTGCTGCAGTAGTAGGTATTAAAATAATATCATAGATTTTTGACCCTTCTATCTCCATCTTCGAGGACTTCTAGAGTCTGGTTTGACCTTAGAATGGGACATAGTTTGCTTGATCGTAGCGACAGCTTAATTTCAATCCCCGAAAAGTCTAATGGTATGTTGTTTTTTACTATTTTCTTTTGCATTAGATGTCAAATTTACTTTTGTATTACTTTCTATAATAAGAGTCACTTTGTTTCAGTTACGAGTGTTAAAGTTAGCTCAGTCATGGACTACAATGAAAGTGTTGTTGAGTATTATAATATCGACAATAGGTGCTCTCGGTAATTTGACGTTCGTTTTAGTGATAGTTATATACATATTCGCTGTGATCGGCATGCAGTTGTTCTCCAAGTCCTACACGCCGGACAAGTTTGAGCCGGACCCTGTGCCCAGGTGAGCAACATTTAAATATTTGACTACTAGTATCACTACTTGAATTCACTGTAACTTTACTAAGGATTCACGCACATTTAAAATAAGATTATATTTTTCCCGACACCTTATACTATCGATAAAATATGATAGCTTTGAACTTGGACATCCTATTTTCTAGAATCGTTCCCAAAGCAAACCTAAATATCTCACTTTATTATTCCCCTCTCAAGAATACGCAAATCATGTGGGCAACTTATCGTACAGCTGTGAATTTTTTCATTTGATTTTATTATGAGAGAACGCCCACACAGCCAAGTTCCTTGCAAAGTTGCGGGACGAAACCTAATATAAAGACATAAAACGATGCTCGAGATAAATGTCCATATTTCCATCTAAGTGCCGGCAACTTTCGCAAAACATTTTAGTTTGTAAACTCCGAACAACTCGAATACTTGCTTTAATTTTAACGACTTTCTTATCTAAATTGGCATAACTTCTCATCCAAGTTGACGACCTAATGGCACGTTGACGGGATGATTCGGAAAAATATACCGAACATCTCTAGTTCGGTTAAAATTGTATTTGTGTAGATTTAAGTACATTTCGCAATGAATTAGATATTAATTTCTGTTCATTCTTGTGTCCTACTAACATCGCATGAGATAACTCTTATTACCGACTCTTATCATCTAGCTAGGTATTTGTTAGTTCTAAACCTCAAATCATTAACGGATATTTTTCCAGTCGTGCCTTTGAAATGTTATGTTTCCTCGCACTAATCATATCGTAATATTTTGCTTGCTCCACAATCTATTTGCAATCATATTCATAATCCGGGAATGCGTAGAAACTTGAACTACTCGTATGTTTAAATAGATGAATGCATATAACTCACCCTTTATAAACTTCTTCTCGGTGACAAGATGGAATTTCAACGACTTCTTCCACTCGTTCATGATGATATTCCGGATTCTATGCGGAGAGTGGATCGAGCCTCTCTGGGACTGCATGAGGGCGGAGCAGGCTAGCGGCGCCGAAAGCTGCTTCTTCATCTTCTTGCCTGCACTCGTTATGGGGAACTTCATGGTGCTCAACCTCTTCCTTGCCTTGCTGCTCAATAGCTTTAACAGTGAGGAACTTAAGAATAAGAAGGAGGTAACGAAGTTGTTTCAAATAAGTTGCGATTCTTGTCACGTGTTCAAATAGTTCGAGAGTGGAAAACTAAATTACGTTATTTTGGTTTCAGGAAGTAGGTGAAGATTCAAAATTAGCTAAAAGTTTCGATAGAATACGTTCGATAGTAAGAAAAAAAGGTTTCCTTATATCGAGAAGTAAAGAGACTGAAAAAAAATCTAAATTAGAAGAGCTAGTTAATGAATATATGACACAACAACGCACCATAAAAGAGCAAAAGCCGTCAATACCGAGCGAGCAGAGGTTCTCATCTTCAATACAGGAGACGATACTTTTTCCGCACGATAATATTTACAGTCACAGTTATCAAGAAGCATTAAATAGGTAATGTGATTTTTATTTTACACTTTGATGACCGTTATCAATACCTAAATGTTCTTCTAAAGTACCAACCTAACATTAAAATTGCAGGCCAGTATCAGTAGGATCAGATTTTGCATTCCCCCCTATCTACCAGAGCGGGAATAACTTTAACCACGGAAGCCAAGAAACTTTGAAAGACGTGCGTGACTTGGCGGCCGAACATAAAATTACAAGTATTAGGGAAGATTCCAAAGAAAACTTGGAGGACACGTCATCCATCGAGCAAGTTGCAGCGCAGAAATTACTAAACCAAATGTCTTCTGGATATCACACGCAGCCATCTGATTCGAGAGGTGAATAAAATATAGATAATCCGCCAGATAATCCGTTTGAACATACTGTATTTTTACCATTAATTTCAGAGGACAATGAAAATTACGAAATGGCTCAGTTATCGAGCAAAACAACTCCAGAGAAAATCAGAAGACGTGAGGGAGGGCGGGAGACACCAATCACATTATGTAAGGAAAATGGGAACAAACCTGATGAAGAAGAAATGAAACATCCGTGGCAAACTTTAGTCTCATATGTAGATGAATTAACCGTAGGTGGAAGGAAAAACTCCAAGGGCCAATACGTTGATGCAATGGGGAACTTTCCGGGATTTGGGAAACAGAAGGAGCCGAAAGTACCGCAGGACTGTTATCCTCGCCAGTGTTACGACACGTATGTTTTCATATTTTTTGCATCAAACTTAATACCTAACTCATTATCTCAACCATTTTGGCATGGATCATGTCTATCTGCATCATTTGGCATGGCTCCATAATCTTTGCATAGTAATCTGAATTTACCTGAACCAAATAATATTCCTTTGTAATGGATGCTTAATTTATCAGATTTGTGAAACATTCTGCCAATCTTCCTCTATACTTTCCATTATAAATCCATACTAACAGCATTAGTTAGAAAAGTATTTTTGAGAATTTAAAACTTTAATTAAATTGTTTAATGTAGAAACTTGATGGCATCTCCAAACAAATCCACCGGGTCACAAAGGAGGGTAATAAATTGTGTTAATTTGTTGCTGCGTTTCAAGTGCATTCCATTTCTCCAGATGTTCCTGTTGGGACACGTGTATCCAAACAAAATTAGGCCAGCGTTGGATGTTCATCCGAACCTTCGTTCTTCGCTACGTGGACACGCCCGCCTTCGAGTGGTTCGTTTTGGTGCTAATATTCGCCTCCAGCATAACCCTCTGCTTCGAAGACATTCACCTCGAGAAGAACAAGCCACTGAAAAGAATCCTTTACTGGACTAACCTAGGCTTCTGCATGATCTTCGTCATCGAAATGTTCCTCAAGTGGATCGCGCTGGGGTTCTTCAGATACTTCACCAGTTTTTGGACTTTGTTAGACTTTACTATAGTTTTTGTGAGTATAAATCTACGACGTAATAGATGTGTGTGCACTAAATAGCTATTAGCTCGCGGCACTCCTGAGTTTACTCGTGTTTCGTAAGTTACCAGGGCAAGCATTTCGTTTCAGTTAAGTGTTTATCAACTGATTTTGTTTGATTTACTGGGTGTATTTATTTCATGTGTTTCGATGTGTGGAATTAACGTAGCGGTTGCATTTACATAGTAAAACATATTATTAATTATTTTAAATTTCTTACAGGTGTCAGTATTTAGTTTGTTAATAGAAGAGAATGAGAATCTAAAGGTATTAAGGTCTCTAAGGACACTGAGAGCATTGCGGCCACTGCGTGCAATATCGCGATGGCAAGGCATGAGGATAGTGGTGAACGCGCTCATGTACGCCATACCTAGTATCTTCAACGTATTGTTAGTTTGTTTAGTATTTTGGTTGATCTTCTCCATAATGGGCGTTCAATTTTTCGGTGGAAAATTTTTCAAATGCGTCGATGAGGAAGGGGAATTGCTTCCTTTAGAGGTAAAGTTAGAAATGTGAACAAAATAACTTATAGATCAAGTATTATCGCAGAAATTATATTTATTTTTTTGTTTCAGGTTGTGAATGACAAATGGGAATGCTATTACAATAATTTCTCGTGGATAAATTCCAAGATATCTTTCGACCACGTGGGAATAGCCTATTTAGCATTATTTCAAGTGGCAACCTTCGAGGGTTGGATGGAAGTGATGGCTGATGCTGTGGATGCGAGAGGGGTTGATCTTCAGCCGGCGAGAGAAGCTAATTTATATGCTTACATATACTTCGTAATTTTCATCGTGTGCGGTTCATTCTTTACTCTAAATCTCTTTATAGGAGTAATTATAGATAATTTTAATATGCTTAAAAAAAAGGTAAGTTAAAAAAATGTGCCTTAAGAGCGTTTACGTCTAGCGTGGCATGTCAAGTTTAGGTAATTTCGATGCTATTTTTATTCACACTAAAATAATTATGACTGTGTGCGTGTTCTCACGCTCTATAGTCAAACCAAAATACTTTGATCCACCATCGTAAAAGTGTGCCAGGCTGTCAAGTGACAGCCCAAAGAAACTATAAAATCTTCAAATCTTCCAACACCGACTCTATAATTATAAATAATGGTATACATTAGTCCTAATCAATAATAAATACGTAAATTATTTATCAAATAGTAAATTATCAAAGGTTTTTTACTATTTTGAGAATATTTTATACAGCCTATGTTCAGCAGAAAAAAAAATGAATTTTAATGGTGAGAGATTTTTTCAAATCGGTTCTATTCAAAACAAACTTTTCCTGTTTACTATTCTTTTTTTATCCGGAAAATGCATAACATTTCATACCCACCAGCTGCGGGGGCAGCTAGTGGGTTATGTGGGGTTCTTCCTACCAGAAGGTGGGTAGCCCCTACACCCACTAAAAACCTGACTGTTTCTGCCATGATCCATATGAGTGATATGAGGGAACGCGGGACATCGCCATTGGCTGTTGCCTGTAGCATTCGTCCTTAGCCGCCACCAGACACCTCCATGTCTAGCGACCGAGGCCTGTTAGGAAGGGACAGTTGGAGACCATAAGCTGTCCTCTTGCGCCCAGGGTGTCGGCGGCGGATAACCGGAGTGTCGGCTGAGGCCTCTCGCTCCCCCTTTCCACTGCTTCTTTCTGTGAAAGTGTTCTTTCAGCACGTAAGTAAGCACACTATACCATAAGATTATTTGTCTCATCATATATTTTATACCTACTAATGTAGATATTGTTTCCGAAAGCGAGCGGGTTCATTCCGTACCTGTACGCTTCATGCGTTCTCTAGCAAAAGCTGAAAATCAGTGTTCTGCCCTTTTGAGGGTAGTGTTTATACTGAGCTCTTTGCTTTTTGCATCGCTGCGGCACACATCACTCTGACGCAGGGAACTATTTGAAACGCTAGTCATCTTTATCTTATGTTGTTTTGTCACTTTTGTTATGTTGCAACTGTTGAAATTATTAATAACCTGTGTAACAAAATACCAGTGGTGTCACCTAGTGTGTTTCTTGACTAACTTTATTTCGATATTGAATTGAATTTCAATAGCAACTATACATAATGTGTGTGTTAAAAGCATTAAAAAAAGTGTGTTACAACAAATAAACAGTTTATCTATCTATCTCACGCCTCTTCCCGATTGGTAGGGAGAGGTCATTTCCAACCGCCGCTCGTTCGCTTAGGCTGGGCACTGTTGGAGCGTGTCAGTCTGCTGCGGTGACTCACGTGCCAAGACTGTAGTGTTAACTGACTACCATCTACAGGCTCTCGGCCTATACGGTGGAGGAATGGCCTGAAGCACCCATGACCCGGTAGATCCTGGGTCGCCCTTTGTGTGAGGCGATCATGCCGTCGCACCCACTCCTCTAATACAGGCAGAACTGCCTCTATGGTGCGACGTAAAATTTGGCTGACGGCCAGGCGTACGTACCCTTCAGCACTCTGGGGCCTAGATCCTCAAGCCTCTACCTTTTGGTTTCCACCTCTCGTGGTGCACGTACACGTACATTTCCCCTTGGGACCTATGGTCATCTCGCAACTGGCGTCTATTCTCGGTTGTCGACACTAGCTTTGTCGCCACTGAGGATAAATGGCATAAATAATATCGATTGTCACCAGTGGTGACACATACTTTCCCAGTTGTAGCTACAGGCTTTCTCACAACTAAGGTATGACAATTAGAATAATACATCCCAATTATGCCTAGTGGGGATGTACACAAATATTGACGCAAATGTCATCGTGCATGACATACGTAAAGTAAAAGTCAAGTAAGACCAGATGAATACAAATATTATTAATGTAATTTTGAACTAGCGGCCGCCCGCGACTTCGTACGCGTGGGCCTCGTTTTACTCCTTAGTTCGTAAAATCTGTTGTTTGATATCATGTTGATAGATGGCGTTTCACGGCTTCCCCCGCATGAATATTTACGAACGTCAAAAACAGTTTGTCCAGCACTGTAGATTTTAACTAATGACGATAGATTGCGCTTTTTAGACACGTCTTATTTATTTGTTGAAATTTATTTGTCACATAATCGTCATAAATTATAGCCTATAATTATGTTAATCTGTTTTATAAACAATAATACTGTAAAGTTTCAACAAAATCCGTTCAGTAGTTTTTGA